GCATACCTAATATATTAAACTAACAAAGTAAACTAGTGACGGTATACAAATTTGTCAGTGTAATTCTAAACATCTGCATAATATACTCAACAGGGGCGGATTGGGGGGGGGTGGTGGGGTAAAATAAAGAAAAGAAAAAGAAATTATAGATCGCCTAAAACACCTCAGAGTTAATTTGGGGGCGTTTAGAAACAAAACATTCCCGGGGCAATATTTTTTTTTTTTTTTTGGTCGTCTCTAAATATAGTTCGAATTAATTTTGCTTCAACCATGGAGGTATTATTCAACTAACGTTTCCAAACACAATTTCATTTTTAAGTACTGCAGTCCTCTACTCTTCATTTCAATTGGACAAATCATTTGAATGTTGAATCTTAAGCATTATCTAAAATATCAAATTTAATTTAAAAAAAAAACCCATGTGAAATGCTTAAATATGGTCAAGATGATATGACTGTATATGGGCATACAACAGTTGTTTTTTTTTTTTTTTTTGTCAAATAAAAATTTGATTTAATAATTAACAAGTCGTTCAATGATTGATGGTTAGTTGTGAATTTGTACATTATAAGTAAACATTTAACTTCACCATTATATAATTTTGGAAAATTGATCGCATTTTTTTTTTGTGAATGTCAGGTTGATGGATCGAAGGACAAATATATGGTTTGTGGGTGTGTCAACAGCGATAAATATAAATACGAACCTCATAACAAATATGAACTAAAGGGCTAAAGTACAATGGGAACGGCGTGTATCAGTACCACACATCATTCAACTTAACATGTTTAAAACTGCACCGTTGGTGGATTTCTTTCCCTTTCATCTGGCAGACGGTATCCCTTCCCATTCAATATATGTACATTATGTCCCCTTAATCCTTCTTAAAACCTGCTTATATCACTATTCCAACTGGAACTATACCCTTTTTCATCGCTAGCTTCACCCCACTCAAAAATCTTCACACAGATTATTGCAAGGTAAACATTTCGTATTATTAATACAGACCCGTAGCCAGGTTCCTGCCAGGGGGTTCTCTAGGCGTGAGGTCCAGGGCAGAAGCCTCGGTGGGTTTGGCGAAACCCTCGAAGCCATAAGTGTTTTGTGTTGCGTCAAAATAATACATAATAGCAGTTATGTTTGAAAAAGGTCTGCAGCAAAAAAAATCTGTGGGTCTGAAGTGCATTAGTTTGGTTCAAAATGGATGGGTGAGGGGAGGGGGAAGCGTTCGCCAGAAAAGAGGGGGGTCTGCTTGAAAAGGGAGTTTGCCCGAACCATAAGCCCACCTCCTCCTCCCCTCCTGGCTACGGGCCTGTAATAAATATCAATATTTTAACTGAAAGTCAAAGTCTTGCAGCACTTTTATGTCTGCCAATGAGTTTATTAAATAAACGATCAGGGTGATTATTTTCTACTCCCCTTTCCCGAATAAACAATTACATGCCTGCTCTATACATTTTTTTTTTCTATTCAGATCTACGCCACAACCTTTGCTCTCCGAGTCCATTGTATGAATTCGAATTTCACAGAGCTACCATCGATATCTTGGTTTTAATCAGTAAATGCGTTTTATTAGTTAATTCACTCACAAAAAATGACACTAAATAACCCAACTACCACCTGATATCCCGAGATTAAGGAGATTAGAGTCAGCTGGTCGATGAAAGATGAGTGGAGTGCAAGAGACAATAGCGCTTGTTGCTTCATCCCGAGGGCAGCCATGCTTACACAATGTATCTTATGAAGAGGGGGCTTTTTCCCAGATAGTCGTAGAACAATACCGATATTTAGAGCATTGTAGAAGGGTCATTGTGTCAGGTTAGGCGTAACATTAGTATTAATACGTGTATACAATTATTATATTATGGGTGGTGTTGTGGTTAGTAGGATTTAGTTTATCAGTGGATATTAAGCTAACTGCGGAGGGGGTTTGTCGGGAATACTGCGTCTATTTAAAATGTTAATCGTTACACCATAAGGTATCTTAATACAGAATCTATTATTGATAATCTCAGTTTACAACCATGGGCTGAGCCTTTGTTCTTGTCATAATTCCCTTTTTGTATTGTTATATCCCTTTAAATGGTTATTCTTACAGTATGGACGTACTTGGGCACGGGGAGGGGAAAATATGTCTCCTCGTGTGCCAATCAAAAATATTTAAAATTATATCTAGACGTGATGCCATTGCGCAAAATACCTACGTAAATACTCAGGCTACGCACTGCATTAGTAAATTAATTAGGAACGTGATTTAATAATAATAATAAAAATAATACTACTACTATACTACTAGTACTAATAATAATAATAATAATAATAGGCCTAATAATAAACAACGGTACCAGCTATCTCTGGTTTGTGCACAACGGGGGCTGTATGACCCAGAACCCCGGGGTAACCATACTTGTTTCGAAAGATGTGCTCTGTTATTTATAGTGCACGCGAGAAGACATAGGCGAGCGTGCCGTTTGAACCATCACCGATATTATAGTGGCTGTATGTTGCGGCGCCCCTCGGCCCGCTCGGCCATCCAACTCGCTTAGGCCCTATATGATACACGCCACTAAACATTTCTGAGCAAAAACATACTCTTTAAATTAAAATCACCTTAGATGTCTACCACTTCATTTCTTAGGTTGGTCCTTTCACATAATAACCAACTCTCAGTCACTTAACTCCTGTCCTCCCCACTCATACCAATGCTAATTGATATGATACCGGTAGGTATGCAACTTCTTTTAGATTTAAGTCTTGGTCCTTTACAGTGGTTCTTCTTGGCTGTGCATTCTCTCAGATAACGCCACCCTTTCCCCCGCCCGCCCCCGCTCCATCAAATCATAGGAATGTTAGGCCTACATATTCCCCATGTTATCATAGCATTACGTCACACTTATACCGCCACCATTACTGAACTTTACCGACACCAGGTACCTTCATATCAAACATTTTAACATTGCTCCTGGAAGTACATCATCATACGTCTGTACTCTAAGAAACGGCAAAGTAAACTCATCCTATACGAATTGCCACTTGGGATCGAACTTAAGTTAATATTTGCTTAAGTAAACGGTTGTATTGGTTATGACCTCAACAAGTAGAAACAAACAAGACAAGATCGTTGATATGCGATGGCCTGCATGCTTTAGAGTGATGGTTTCAATGGCTTTTGATACTGACGAAAAATTTATGTTTTGTAGATTAATGTTATGTGCGCACTCTAATAGTATGTGTTAGCCCATGCAATATTGAGGTTATTTTGTGAAATGCCAATCAATTTATCAATCAATTAACCAATCAAAATTTTGAAAGATTGATTGATTGATTGATAATAGATAGATAGGCCTAGATAAATTGATTGATTGGTGTGCACTTTAATCCATCGCTTCATTGTTTGAACTGACAACATTCCAACAACTGATTACGAATGTGTGGTTTATGAGATGTTTTTCTTGATGGTGATTCATAATAATACTAATAATAATACTAATAATAATAATAATAATAATAATAATAATAATAATAATAATAATAATAGATGGATTTATATAGCGCAAATAATTAATAATAATAGTAATAATAATAATAATAATAATAATAATAATAATAATAATAATAATAATAATAATAATAAGATGGATTTCTATAGAGCAAATAAACGAGGTCACTATGCGCTCGTTATGATGTTGCATTTTTCAGTTTGTTCTGTTTTCTCCATAATTATAACCAACAGAGAAAAATTTCATATAAAAATGTATTTGCTCTCGCCTTCAATATCGCCAATTGATTAACTCTGAAATGGCCTATTATTTGTTGCAGCATCGTTTGCTTACTAAATTCGTGCTTATTATGATTTATTATTATTTTTATAGGATTTATTAGCGCACATATACAGAAAACTGCTCAATGCGCTGTTTTCATCATTGGATAACCAATCATCACAGTGTGCAACCCTCCTCAGTTTTCTTTCATTCCAAATCGTTCACCTTCTACCAGATACCCACATCTACACCCAGGGTGAGGAGAGGCAAATGCAAATGACATGTCTTGCCGAGGGACTCAAGCAGTATCAGTGACAGGCATCGGCCTTAAAGCCCTGTGACCTACCGATTTACACGCTGCGCCACACCAACGCATTTTAAGCCGGGCACTCAACGCGTCGTACGACCGCCGGCCGACGAATCCAACTCCGCTCCATGTGGACACTAGACGACGCGACACAGTATGCTGATTATCGGCGGCAGTCTGAACGGATCGTCTGTCGCACGCGCGTTGTCGTAGCATTGCATACACCATCGTGTCGGCCGACGACCTTCGTACGCAGTGCCGAGTGTGCCGGCATTACACGCTCCGCCACACGCTTATTGAAAACAACTAGGCGACTACTGATGAGCGAGACAACAAATTACATAGCCTACACATTCATAAAGTATTATTTTAAAAAATATTTTAATAAATATGTACAATCCAAATACTGTGAGTTGACGTATATTATATTCAAGGTGTGTGGATTAATCTACGGTAAGTCTAATTACGCGATCATAACGCACATTCATGCTTAAATACAAATATACATAGGGCCTATATACATATACACTATATATATATATATATATATATATATATATATATATATATATATATATATATATATATATACATATCCACT